AGGTCATGTTTTCTAGACTTTTAATGGTTTTTGTTGCTCTTCTCTGGACTGTCTCCAATTTGTCCACATCCTTCCTGAAATTTGGTGCTCAGAACTGGACATAATACTCCAGTTGAGGCCTAATCAGCATGGAGTAGAAAGGAAGAATTTCTTCTTGTGTCTTGCTTAAATTACTCCTGCTAATACATCCCAGCATGATGTTCCCTTTTTTTGCAAGGGAGTGACACTGTTTACTCATATTAAGCTTGTGGTCCACTATGACCCCTAAATCCCTTTCTGCAAGTACTCCTTCCTAGGAAGTAATTTCCCATTTTGTATGTGTGCAACTGATTGTTCCTTCCTAAATGGAGTACTTTGCATTTGTCCTTGTTGAATTTCATCCTGTTTACTTCAGACCATTTCTCTAGTTTGTCCAGATCATATTGAATTTTAATCCTATCCTCCAAAGCACTTGCAACCCCTCCCCAGCTTGGTATTGTCCACAACTCTGTATGCCATTATTTAAATCATTGATGAAGATGTTGAACAGAACCGGACCCGGACTCTGCGGAATCCCACTCATTATGCCCTTCCAGCATGATTTTGAACCACTGATAACTACTCTCTGGGAATGGTTTTCCAACCAGTTTTGCACTCATCTTGTAGTAGCTCCAGATAGGTTGCATTTCCCTAGTTTGTTTATGAGAAGGTCATGCAAGATTGTATCAGAAACTTTACTAAAGTCAAGATATACCATATTTACGGCTTCCCCCCATCCACAAGCCTGGCTACCCTGTCAAAGAAAGCTATCAGGTCAGTTTGACATAATTTGTTTTTGACAAATCCATGCTGACTGTTATTTATCACCTTATTATCTTTTTGATGTTTGCAAACTGATTACTTAATTATTTGCTCCATTATCTTTCTGGGTACAGAAGTTAAGCTGATTGGTCTGTAATTCCCTGGGTTGTCCTTATTTTCCTTTTTATAGATTATCACTATATTTGCCCTTTTCTAGTCTTCTGGAATCTCTCCTGTCTTCAATGACTTCTCAAAGATATGATGTTTACCGTGGAAACTGCAGCAGACTTTATATATATAAAGTGTATATAAAGTCTGCTGCAGTTTCCACGGTAAACATCTGATGAAGTGAGCTGTAGCTCACGAAAGCTCATGCTCAAATAAATTGGTTAGTCTCTAAGGTGCCACAAGTACTCCTTTTCTTTTTGCGAATACAGGACTAACACGGCTGTTCCTCTGAAACTTCTCAAAGATAATCACTAATGGCTCAGATATTTCCTCAGTCAGCTCCTTCAGTATTCTAGGATGCCTTTCATCAGGCCCTGGTGACTTGAAGACATCTCATTTGTCCAAGTAATTTTTAAATTGTTCTTTCCTTATTTTAGCCTCTTCTGATCCTACCTCATTTTAACTAGCATTCACTACGTTAGACATCCAATCACCACAAACCTTCTTGGTGAAAATCAAAACAAAGAAGTCAATAAGCACCTCTGCCATTTCCACATTTTCTATTGTTATCCCCCTCCCCCCCACTCACACACATTGAGTAGTGGGTTGTACAGACAACAGCCTCTTTGTCCCAAGTAGTAATACAGAGCATTTCCTCCCTGTCCCCACAAACACACCAGTCTGAACCCAGGTCATTGATTAGTAATTTCCTTTCTTTATCTGAAGAATGTCTCCCTGGAAGCAGCATGACTGTATCTCTCAGTGCTAGGACCAAGGTTCTACCCCATGCTTCAGACACCAGGCTCTCAATAATAGATTCCTTGGAAGGTCTGAGTTCCTCAGCTGTGTCGATGCTGCAGGTTTTGTCTGAAGCTCCATCAGAGAGCAGGTGAGGAGATCTAGCCCTTCCCATAGCTAACACACAAATATTTATTCTATTTGCCCATTTATTATTTATGTTTACAGCTGGTTCTGAAGAATGATGGTATTTTTTCTTCCCAGTCTCTTTGGGAGTGGGAGCCAGTGTTACATTCATGTTAAAACCCTAGGCTTCAGAGCCTGAGCCCCAACTTTAAAGCTCTGTCTGCACAGTCTCCAAATTGCAGCACAGACATACCCTCAGACTCAAATTCCAAGCTATGTGTCTTGCTGATGTTCAAATGTACCCCTCCCAGCCCATCTGCTTAGCACAACTGGGTTCCCCGCTTCCAGAGGGGCTTTCTGGGTGTGTGAGAAATGATCTTTCTCCCTTCCCTGTATCAGCCCCACCTGCCATGGCTCGAGGTGGGTTTACAGGGCTTGCAGCATGAAGGGATTCACAGTGAATCCCAGAGAGTGCTCCTTTTAGTATGTTTCAGAGCTGGGACACAGGGGTCTCCACCCCAGGTAAATGCAGGATGCTGTCCAGGCTAGAGCTGGGCATAGAATGGATTGTTCAGTTTGCTGACAACTTCAAACAATTACAATAATGTTTCATTTAGAGTTGAATGGAAAATGAAACTTTTCAAAATTTTTGATGAGTTAAAAAGTCAGAAAAAAAAATTCAAGTTGAAACGTTTCATGTTCACCCATCTCAATTTTTTCATTTTGATTTCAGGCACTTTTACCAATAGCAAGGGAGGACTAGATTAATCATATGGCTGGAGGAAGTGCTGGTGGTGCCCTCTGGATAAGTGTTAGTCCAGTGTGATCTGTGAGTCCTAGATACAGCTCCCCACAGCCCCCAATGGAGAATGGATTTGAATTTGGGACTACAGGATATTCTGGTGTGGGCCTTTCTCAGTCTCTCCTATTGAAGTTCCACTTTTTATAAATAATTAAATAGCTAGTGGATCAGGGACGTGAACTGAGGTCTCCAACCTGCTAGCTGAGTGCCCCAACTCATCCATAGGCAGTAGAGTCATTCTCACTGTCTTTCCCTGCCCAATGACTATTCACTGTCATTAATTAATAGTCATTCTTACCACTATGAATAACACAATGGTAGGTTTAGGAGAGAGGTGTTTTGATGGAAATGACAAGGAGAACTCCATTAGGCAGGAATTCTGGAATAGTTCTGAGTACCACTTTGTCTGGTAAAAGCTGAAGAAAAGGGGATTTATTATATAACACAGTTAACTCAGTGACCCTTCTGATGAAGTTGATTTTAATTGTCACAGTTCAGGGACCTGCACTGTTATTTCCCCTCATTGGTCCAGCAAGGTCTCCCCCACTCAGGCTTCCAGCTCACCTGGCCATTGCCTTTCCTGGGAGGAGACCCATGTCTTTCTCCTTTCTCACTTGGGTATTTTCAGGCTGAACAGTTAGTTCCCTGCCATCACTCTGTTATTCTCAGCAAACAACAGTCTGCCTAAGCAGGCCTGCTCCTCTTCTCTTCTCAGAGATGATACACAGTGTAATGGCCCCAGTTATAAGTTATTTTTTCAGGGCATACCCTGAAAACACAGGCCACCCTTTATCAAACCAGATGACCAAGCCCTTAGTGTGTTGTGGAAAGTCTGAGACAGGGCTAGTCAGCAGGGGCCTCCTCTCAGAAAAATTCCAGGGGATGGGGAGCGAAGTTGTGTCAGGATATAGAACAATATATGTGGATATATTACATCCTAGAGAGGCGGGGAGTGGAAGACATAATGGAGCATACAGACCTACAGAAAGTCCAGCGGGAAGCAGGGACAACTGCCCCCTAGAAAATGATGCCCCTGCTGGTAAGTATGAGAAGATATAAATTTGTTTTTACAGCTTTACGGAGAGGTACCCACTTGGGGAGGCGGAGAAACCAGGATCAGAGTTTTGGGCAGCTGTGCACACTGGGGTATCCCGATGTGTAAACAGAACATTTGGGCAATTGCCCAAGCCATGGGTGCCTCCTTCCATAGGGGAGGAGAACAATAAACTAGAGAGAGCTGTTTTCTTTTGTTCTTCCTCCTTGGACGGGATAATGTGCAAAGGGTTGAGACCTATTCCCTTGCTAGTGCACAAGGAGACTGGGCCCATTTGCACAGTACATACGAGTCACAAATGCTTTTATAAGAATAACCCAAGATGGGAACCTTCCAGCTGCAGCAGAAGACGCAGCTGTTCCTACATGTCCTGTTATTCCCCAAGCCAGTTCTGTGGATGAACTCACTGTGTTGGCCTCATTATTCCAGGATAAGACCCTAAAATCTGGACCTCTTAAAAACACCAAAAATGCCATAGAGATTGGCTGTTACAGACACGGCCCTCAGGGGATCCTTTGCCTTCTGTGATTTATTCTGTAACTCAAGTAACTCAGACCTTGTTGACTTTCCTGTATGGTGTAAGAGGATCAAAAAAGTACCACATTGGCTAAACAAAGTAAAAGAAACAGTTAGAGGCAAAAAGGCATTCCTACTGAGGAAAACAGAAAGGAGCCTAAACTCTGGCAAGTGAAGCGTAAAAATATAACTGGGAAGGCCAAAACATAATTTGAAGAACAGCAAGCCAAAGACTCAAAAAGTAACAGCATAGAATCATAGAATATCAGGTTTGGAAGGGACCTCAGGAGGTCATCTAGTCCAACAACTAGCCCCGAGATGAATCATATCCATCTACATGCTGCCAGGTGGAGCTTCGAGGCCTTGCTTGTGGGCTGATGGGGTTAGATGGCAGCGGAAGCACCTCAGCCCTTCAGGTAGTGTGTCTGATGTTCTTGGGAGAGAATGGGAGTCCGGGCATTAGAGGTTAGCGGCATTAATCCCAGTGGTATGGACAGATTCTGCAAAAGGAGGCTGATTTTGCTATTCACTCTGCTGATATAAGTTTTAAAACCAATTCTTAATTAAAATGCATTGGTTTTAAAACTTATACCAAGAGGCCGTGGAGTTAGTTGTCTAGGGTGGCCCAGCTTTACTTATATTTTCAACTCTCACAGGCTGGACACATTTGTGAGTCCTTCCTGCAAGTGCTGTACATACACTTGATTTTCAGATTCTCCTTGTAACTGCAGGGAGCAGACACCAGATACGCACCCTGTTGAGCACTTTACATAAAGGACACCCATAAATGCATAAAGGAGGCCAAATGTTACTTACCGCAGTTTCTCTAATTTGCAATTCGGGTGTGTCAGTCCCTCACACAGCAGCCGCACGCCGGCATCTCCCAGTTTATTACCACTTAGGTCCAGCTCTGCCAGGCTCTGGCTGGCTCTGAGAACAGCAGCGAGATCCCCACAGCCAGCGTCTGCGACACCGCACTCCTCCAAGCTGCAGGAGAGAGAAAGACGGAGAAGGGGGATCAGGGTGTGAACGGGGCTCATCACAGCTGTTCTGACAGGCGGCCCTGCCCACCTGCCCCTCTCTCTGACCAATCAGCATCCAGAATGAGTCAGAAGTCCCGCTACAGACTCTGACTCAAGCCCACGTCCTTATCCACTGTCTAAACTCCACCCCTTGCCATTTACCCTTCACCAGTGAACAATAACAATGGTCTGACACCTCAAAACTCTGCCACTGACAAATGAGGAATAAGGTTTGGGGTAAGACTCCTTCCTTCCTTCCTTCCCTCCTGAGCACCACCCCCTCACCCTCTCCACTGACCAACCAGAATTCAGAAAAGGTAAAAAGTTGCCCTTTAAGTCCCGACCACTCAGCTCCTGACCAATCAGCTTGGACTTTGCACTGATCAGCCCTGGGATGGTGTGACCCAATCAGAGCAAGCCCCACCCCAGGCAGCTGGGCCAGGCTCAGAGCAGGACGAGCTGGAATATTCTGCCCCCTCCACGCCCCTGGCACGAGCTTGGCTGCTCCCCTGCAGGGTGCAGCTGTCTCCTGTCTCTGACCCCAGCTCTGACCCTCAGACGTGGGGCGGGGAGGCAGCTGGCAGGCCCAGCACTGGCAGCCTCTCTTCCTCTGAGACCAGGGACCAAAGTGGGGGAGAAACAAAGAGTGGAAGATCCCCATGGCAGGGGGTTCCCCTAGGTTTCGGGAGGGAAGAATCCCTGAAAGGAGGGCGACTGTGTGACCCAGTTATACAGGTGTCCGGTTTTCAACTGGAAAGTCTAGTCGAAAGGGGACCTGTACCGTGTCCGTCACAAGACACAAAAAGTCCAGTTACTGCAGGTGGTGGGGAGGAGGTGCAGGGAGGTGACAGGTTGTCAACCCATGCCAGCCCCTGCTCATTCAGGACCTCTTCCTACATGCATCTTGTGGGTAGTCAGGCTCCACATCGAGGGGTGAAGCTCACATCCCAGCCCTGGGAGCACAGGGAGCCAAGCTCGGGAGTCGGGGGGGAGATGGGGCGGTGGAGGGGATTGAATGATGAGGAAGCGGGAAGGGTAAGAGCAGCTAGCAATGGGGGAATCATAGAATCATAGAATCATAGAATATAAGGGTTGGAAGGGACCCCAGAAGGTCATCTAGTCCAACCCCCTCTCAAACAGGACCAATTCCCATTAAATCATCCCAGCCAGGCTTTTCAAGCCTACCTTAAAAACCTCTAAGGAAGGAGATTTACCACCTCCCTAGGTAAATTCATTTTCACCACCCTCTTAGTGAAAAGTTTTCCTAATATCCAATCTAAACCTCCCCCACTCACTTGAGACCATTACTCCTTTCTTCATCTGATACCATTGAGAACAGTCTAGAGCCATCCTCTTTGGAACCCCCTTTCAGGTAGTTGAAAACAGCTATCAAATCCCCCCTCATTCTTCTCTTCTGCAGGCTAAACAACCCAGCTCCCTCAGCCTCTCCTCATAACTCATTGTTCCGACCCCTAATCATTTTTGTTGCCCTTCGCTGGACTCTCTCCTTTATCCACATCCTTCTTGAAGTGTGGGGCCCAAAACTGGACACAGTACTCCAGATGAGGCCTCACCAATGTCGAATGAGGGGAAGATCGTCCCTCGATCTGCTCCTTGCCCCTCTTACATCCCAAAAGCCATGGACTTCTTGGCAACAAGGGCACACTGCTGACTCTTCCAGCTTCTCGTCCCTGTCACCCCTAGGTCCTTTTCCGCGAACTGCTGCCGCCTTCGGTCCCTGTCTGTGCTGTGCATTGGGTTTTCCGTCCTGTGCGGTGGTGGGGGGGGTGCGGGAGGGAGGTGGCGGGAAGGCAGGGAGAGGAGTGAGTGGAGGGCCTCAAGGGAAGTGGCGGAGCGGGGGGAGGTTCCAGCACTCCTGCTTTAGTGTCCAGTTTTCAGAAATTAGAAAATTGGCAACCCTACTCTGTTGGCAGGGCTTGTTCCAGAGGCTCTCGTGGGGTGATAAAAGCAGAAGTTCTGCTGGTTTCTGTAACTCACCAGCAGAGTCTGGGCACCTGATGGAGCTGCCAGCCAGCTGAGTCGGTAACCATGGCAGCAGGCCACCTATGACCATGTCCACTTCAAAGACCACCCGCAAACATGAGTGTCTTTGCCCTCCTTCAAGGGCTCACAGCGAGCCCCCTGCACTCTCAAGCACAAGCCCTCCCCACATCCAAAAGCTGCTAAATCTTGCACACATGTTGAGACACCCCTCCCACCAGAACTGTCACCTGCACAGCCTCCTTCATCACCTCAGTTGCCTTAAAAATATTGTTACTCTGCCAAATAGAGGGGAACCCCAACATTTGGGAGAGAAAAAGCCGCTGAATTCATACAAGGGAGAGAAGCAGGCATTCCTTGGGGAGTCCCCAGGTTCTGTCAGGGTTTGTAGAACCCCCAAGATATTTTGGAGGCAGGAAGAGAGGAGCCTGCAATGGGGGTTAGGGGAGAGATTCTAAGATTGGGTCAAATAGGGGGAGAAAAACCCCAAAGGTGTATGTGAGAATCTGAGGGGATAAACCCTATTTTGGGGCGGTGTGAAGAGAAGAGGGCATTCAAGTTGAAGCAGAAGAGGAACCCCCCCCACAAAAAAAATTTAAAGGTTAAGAGAGAGAGAGAGGACACCTGAGAAGTTAAGGAGAAAGAGACCCCAAAGTGTGGGGAAGACTTTTGAGGGGAATGGACCTCACTTGGAATTAAAAGGAGACCCCTTCTGCCACTCAGTGGTAATAAAGGGAGTAAGGAAAGAACACCCCCCCCCCATATACACACCCTGATATCTTCAATGAAAGAGATAAGGCTAAGGCAGGTTTGGGAAATACCCACCATGGTGTAGAGGAAGGAGACCTCCAAAGAAGAGCACTGAAAGTGGGGAAAGACTGTAAAGGAAACAGGGGACACTCCTGGAAAGTAATATGAAGGACAGAGGAGAATTAATAAGGATACAGAGAGCAAGACAGAAAGAATTAATGAATCGTGGAGGGAGTCTCTAGGGAGCAGCAGGAGGAAAACGGAGAAGATGGAGTGAGAGGGAGGAATGGTAGGAAAAAGAAAATGGTTAAATTTGAGGGCAAACACAGACACTCAAAAGACTGAAGGAAAAAAGAGACAGAGAGAGAAGAAAATATCTGAGCAAAGGGAGAAACAACAGAACAAATACAAAACAAACTTAAAAAAGGGAAGACAGAGTGGCACTTAGAATTTTTTTATAAAATATTTTATAGTAAGTTTGATGTTAAAATGTTGCATTAAGATTCACGCTCACTGTATGTTGCCAAATATTCAAAAATGACAAGTCAGGCCGCAAAAAGTCTTAAACTGAGCATCGTCATGTGACTGTCTTAAAACTCATGAGATTTAAAAAAAATATATATCCTGTATTCATTGTATTTGGCACTACAAGAAGGATGTGGAAAAATTGGAAAGAGTCCAGCGGAGGGCAACAAAAATGATTAGGGGACTGGAACACATGACTTATGAGGAGAGGCTGAGGGAACCGGGGATGTTTAGTCTTCAGAAGAGAAGAATGAGGAGGGATTTGATAGCTGCTTTCAACTACCTGAAAGGGGGTTCCAAAGAGGATGGCTCTGAACTGTTCTCAGTGGTAGCAGATGACAGAACAAGGAGTAATGGTCTCAAGTTGCAGTGGGGGAGATTTAGGTTGGATATTAGGAAAAATTTTTCACTAGGAGGGTGGTGAAACACTGGAATGCATTACCTAGGGAGGTGGTAGAATCTCCTTCCCTAGAAGTTTTTAAGGTCAGGCTTGACAAAGCCCTGGCTGGGATGATTTAGTCGGGGATCGGTCCTGCTTTGAGCAGGGGGTTGGTCTAGATGACCTCCTGAGGTCCCTTCCAACCCTGATATTCTATGATTCTATGATAGCGGCCTAGTGGGGTAGATGGTGACAGAAACACCTCAGCACTCCAGGCCATGGATCTGATGTTCCTGCGACAACAAAGGGGAACCTGCATTGGGAATTAGGGGCATTAACCCCAAACCTCCAGTGAGGGACAGCAGCTGGTGCAACAGAAGGCTGATTTTGCAGATGACTCTGCTGGTGCTTTGGGGGCAGATTTTCCAGGGGGCTCAGCATCCAACCTGCAGATCCTTTGAAAATCTGGTCACAAGTAACACAATGGGAGCTGCTGGGTGCGGAGCTCTCTTGAAAATCTGGCGTCAAGTCCTGAGAGTTCACCAGAACCTCAGAGGCCTGGAATGGGGCTTCTATCTTGAAAGCAGAAGAAACAGAGCAGAAATGTATTGAAAGACAAAAAGGAAGAGCCACAGCTTTCCCCAAAAGGTTTAGTTTCTTATAATGAGTCCAACACTGGCACCTGCTCTCACCTGCCCTGTTTGTAACTGTAAACACACATCCCCATCCCCAACAGGCTGCACTTCAGAGGGTGTTTCTTCAAATTGGTGGTGGCTCTCAGCTGGGAGCACAGTCAGCCCCAGCCCTGGGGACATCAAAGGCAGAAGCCACCATGGCTGGGGCTGAAGCTTAAACCCAAACTGAGTATTTCTGCTCAGATGGGGAGATTTAGAATCCTCAGATCCCTTGTATCTCTTTTGTTTTTATTCATTGTATACAGTAAAAGCTGTTTTATCTGGCATGTTGGGAGAATGGGGGAGGGGGGTGCTGGAAAGTGAAAAATGCCGGTTAACTAAGAGGGAGGGAGTTTGGGTGCAGGAGGCACAGCCAATGGGAGCTGCAGGGGTGGCGCCTGTGGTCAGAGGCAGCATGCAGAGCTGCCTGGCCACACCTCCGCCTAGGAGCAGCCGGGACAGGTTTCCACTTGAGGGGAGCTGTCCAAGTTGAGCAGCTCCCGAATCCAGCACCCTGCACCCCCTCCCGCACCCCAAACCCCCTCCCACACTCAAACTTCCTCCCAGAGCCCACGCTTCGCACCCCCTCTTGTGCCCCAAATCCCTGATGGTCCCATGCCAACCAGACTATGAACTGGCATTTCAATGAAGATCAGAAATGCTGGTTTATAGAGATTTCCTATTGGTGAAGTGCTGGATAAAACAGCTTTTACTGTATATGAAAATTCAAGGTGTCAAAATTATTAGAATAATCTATAAAATAGGCTGTTAGCTGAAAGGTAACAGTGACCTCTTTTTAATAAATGCATTTTATTAAAAGTTGTTTATATACATACATATATTCCCTGAAAAACAGGGGGCTGAGGAGCTAATTGTCAGGTGTGGGCTCAGATTTATGTAGTTTCCATTTTCCAAACAGGGCAGGCCGGGACATGTTGTGACCCATGTACTGGAGACACTGAACTCTCAGGTTCTCCATGTAGCTGCAGGGACCAGCCACTAGCCATGCACCCTGTCAAGCTCTTTACATAGAGGATGTCATAAATACAAAGGGAAGGGTAACCACCTTTCTGTATACAGTGCTATAAAATCCCTCCTGGCCAGAGGCAAAGTCTTTTTACCTGTAAAGGGTTAAGAAGCTCAGGTAACCTGGCTGGCACCTGACCCAAAATGACCAATGAGGGACAAGATACTTTCAAATCTGGGGGTGGGGAGGAGGGGGGCGAGAAAGGCTTTTGTCTGTCTGTATGATACCTTTGCCGGGAACAGATCAAGGCCTCCAACTACTGTAAAGTTAGTTAAGTAATCTAGCTAGAAAATGTGTTAGGTTTTCTTTGTTTTGGCTTGTGAAATTCGCTGTGCTGGAGGAAATGTGTATTCCTGTTTTTCTGTCTTTTTCTAACTTAAGGTTTTGCCTAGAGGGATTCTCTATGTTTTGAATCTGACTGCCTGTAAGATTATCTTCCATTCTGAACTTACAGAGTTGTTCTCTTATCTTTTTTTTATTCTTCTAATAAAGTTCTGTTTTTTAAGAATCTGATTGGGTTTTTTGGGTCTTAAAAATCCAAAGCTGGTTTGTGCTCACCTTGTTTACTCTCAAGCCTCCCCAAAAAAGGGGGTGTAAGGGTTTGGGGGGATATTTTGGGGAAATAGGAAATCCAAGTGGTCCTTTCCCTGTTCTTTGTCTAAATCACTTGGTGGTAGCAGGATACTGTTCAAAGACAAGGCAAAATTTGTGCCTTGGGGAAGTTTTTAACCTAAACTGGTAAAAATAAGCTTAGAGGGTCTTTCATGAGGGTCCCCACATCTGTATCCCAGAGTTCAGAGTGGGGAGGGAACCCTGACAGAGGACATCTGTAAACACACAGATGAACCCAAATCTTACTTACTTCAGGCTCTGTAATTTGCAGTTTTGTTTCAGTCCCTCACACAGCAGCTTCACGCCGGCATCTCCCAATTTATTACCACCCAGCTTCAGGTCTGTCAGGCTCTGGTTGGTTCTGAGAAGAGTGGCGAGATCCCCACAGCAAGTGTCTGTGAGATCACACTCCTCAAAGCTGCAGGAGAGAGAAACACAGAAAAGGAGGATCACGGTGTGAACAGGACTCATCACAGCTGTTCTGACAGGCGGCCCCACCCACCAGCCCCTCTCCCTGACCAATCAGCATTGAGAATGGGCCAGAAATTCTACCCTAGGCCCTGTCTCAAGCCCCACCCCTTACCCAATAAGTAACCAATGTTGGATGGATCTTCCTGCTTAAGCCCCACTGCTTCCCCTTCAGAAATAACCAGTCAGCACTGAGAATGGCCCAGATATGTAAATCCCCAAAACTTTGTCACTGACCAATGAGGAATAAGATTTTCAGTAAGAAATAAGATTTTCCTCCCTGGGTAGCCCCCCAGCCCTTTCTACTGACCAACCAGAATTCAGGATGGGCACAGTCCTGCCCACTCAGCTCTCACTTAAGTCCTGCCCACTCAGCTCTCAACCAATCAGGTTGGACTTGGCACAGATCAGCCCAGGAATGGTGCAACCCAATGAGAGCAGGCCTATCGCTACAGGGAGGCTGTAGGGGGAGCCCCCTCCGCAGGCAGCTGGGGCAGGCTCAGAGCAGGAGCTGAGAGATCCTGACCCTCCGCGCCCCTTGCACTAGCTCTGCAAAGCACAGCCCTCTGAAGCCCCTGGCCTTGGCTACTGTCAAAAGGTCAGGATACTGGGCTAGATGGACCATTTGTGAGCCAAACTCTCAGGCAAACCAGGGTTACTCGCTCAACTGCCCTTCCCACAGTGTCTGCACTGACTCAGCCCTCAGGCATGCAACAACAACCTATCCCTGACCAAAGCCTGGGTCACGTGTCTCCCAGGCTCAGGTATTTCCACAGGCCCACCAGAGCTGCAGATCAGTCTGCACAACAGCACTACCTGGCCAGGAACCCTCCTGCTGCCTCGCAGTGCATCAGATTCTGGAGACTCCCAACCTACTCCTGGCCCAGCCTTGCCTGAGCCCTGTCCCAGTATTGTCCGTGGCCTACTCTAACCTTGCTCCAGCCCTGTCACCGACCTGCTCCAGCCTTGCCTCTGCCTGCTGATCCTCCCCAGACCCTCAGACTCTGACTACTCGGCTTCAACCTTTGGCCTGTATATGGACACTGGCTTCAATATTGTCTTGGCTTGTCCCTGGACTCTGACCACCTGCCCTCGACCTCTCTCCTGCCCCTGGACTTCAGTTACAGTTCAGAGTCTGGTTCATCTACAGACTTTGATCGCAGTTTTGATCCCGGCCTGTTCCTGGATCTCATTTCCAACACCACCCTTGGCCTAAGCCTAACTGTACACCTAGCTGCAGCCTACACTCCAACCCCTAGGCCTGCTTTTCAGAGGCACTGCCTGACACCATTGGTCTGACCCAGTATGGCTATTCTTTATTTTGTTGACCACTACCCATATATATGTAAATACACAAAAACACAAACGTTATCTCCCCGCATGTCTTTAAGGGTTGAATCTGAGTTATTTATCCTGCAGAACACTTAACCCTTTCTGGTCATGCATCACAGTAGGTTTGAGGTTATTTTAAGAAGAGGCCTTGGTTTTATTCAGTTATTTGGCAAACAGTCAAAAACATTCATTCCGATTAAAAGTTTATTGATTAAACAAAGAAAGAACAAGAAGTCAAAACAGTCATTTATATTGAAAATGTGGCTGAGTGATTATGCAAAACACACTAAGTCAAAGCCTTTGAAGTCTTTCTTTTTTTGGAGGCAAAATATCAGTCTCTTATTTTCAGAACAACCTTTCCTTGATGAAGAGGAAAGGAGTAATTTTACTCTCGGTCCTGATGTATAAAAGGCATTTACTTGTCCTGTTTTTTAACAAACTGACAGACATGAGGTGGAAGAGAGATAGGATAGAAAAGATGAGTGAAATATTGGTTTTGTGGATGTTTTTGGAACACAGTATTGCTAGTTATTTATATATGGATGCTTTTTGGCTGGCAAATCGACCACGACACCAACCGCCAGGACTCTGTTTTACAATCTGGTCAGGGACGTTAGTTGAGTGGATCTTTTCTTCCTGGACAAGGCAGGCTTGGATGAATACAACATATCTAACTTCAGGATTTGATGAAAAGCCAAAAGAGAACAGAAGGAAAGAAAGGGGGGCAGAAAACAACAAAACAAAGGAAGGGAGAACAATGCAGGATCTTATGTGCTTCTGTGGTGCTGCTAGTTACATACCCCACTGATGGGCTGGGGATTGGATGTCATGATAATGTGATGACGTTCAGCACTCACAGGTGAAAACAAAGTTCCTCAAACAAGTTTAAGGCCAGCCGGCTTTCCTCTCAGGAAGAAAGTCCTTTAGATGAGCCAAGATGAGCTGCAGTGCTGGCAGTCTGGGGGGTGAGCTGGTATGCAAGGTGGGATGGGAGATGAGAGGGAAAGCTCATCTGAAGTGATCTGAATATTTTTTTCCCAAAGTCTTTTTTTAAGGAACCCAAAAATGGGAAAAGTGGGCTTCATAGTTCATCTCCCTTACCATTTTGTCCACCAATTAGGCCTAATATCCTTCACACCAATATCTGGCTCCACATCATCTGTTTTTCACAAATATAATTTCAGCAGTCCTTGGATTATATTAACATGGACTTTTTGGTTTAGATTAATCTATTTTCTCTCTCTGGTTTTCTTGCACCTCTGAAAAGATTCAATTTTGTAAATAGCTTAGCCTATTTTTCATGGTTATTAACATCTTATGGACTCTCACATACTGTTCACATTTGAGCTCACAATAGGGATACAACTTTTAGGCCTAATGGTCACAACAGCTCCAAACTCTGACAATTAGACCTGGGGAGGAGAGGCAGCTGCCAGGCCCAGAACTGGCGACATCACAGCCACCTTCCCACTGAGACCAGGGATCAAAGCAGAGAAAGACAAAGGAGAAAAGAACCTCACAGTAAGGGGGATCCCTGATATTTGGGGAGAGAAGAGCCCCTGAGAGGGGGCGACCATGTGAAACTGTTGGCAGGGCCTGTTTCACACTCCCTGTTGAGTTTATAAAAGTAGAAGTTCTGTTTGTTTCTGTAATGCTCCAGCAGAGTCTGGGCTCCTGATAAAGCTGCCAACCATCTCAGTGGGTATCCATGGCAGCAGGCTGACGATGACCATGTGCACCTCAGGGACTACCGCCAAGCATGGCTGTCTTTGTCCTCCTTCAAGGCCTCAAAGGGAGCCCCCTGCACACCCAAGCATGAGCCCTCCCCACCCCCAACAGCTGCCAAATTCTGTACACACATCCAGACATCACACCCACCAGAACTAGACATGGCATTGACTCCTCCATCACTACAGTTGCCTTGAAACTTGGTCATCCTACTGAAGGGGGAGCAGAGCGCCCAGTGCTTGGGAGAGAAAAAGAGTCACTGAATTTGTATAAGGGAGAGAAGCCCTCAATCCCTGGGTGAGCCCACAAGTTCTGTAAGGGAGAGCAGAGCCCCCAAGATGTTTTGGAGGCAGAATGAGAGAAGCCCCCACTGGGGCGAGGGACTCTAAGGTTGGGGTGTAGATGCGGAGAAAAACCCCATGGGTATATGGCAAAATTGGGGAGATAAACCCTAACTTGTGGGGCAGGAGCTGGGGAGCAAGGACAGCATTCAAGATAAAGCGATGGAGAAAATCCCCATGAAATTTACAGATAAAACAAGAGAGAAGACACCTGAGAAGGTGAGGAGAAAGAGACCCCAAAGTGGGGAGAGGAAATTTGAGGGGAAAGAAGGACCCCAACTGGATCCCAAAGGAGAAAACCCTGTTCCCACAACAGTAGAGAAGGAAAATAAGAAAGAGACAAGAAAATACCCTAGCAAAGAGAAATAAGCGAAAAGATTTAAAAAACAGGGGTGGGGGAGAGGAGAAATAGTGGAACTCAGTGTGTTTTTAAGTTATTTTGCAGAAAGGTTGCAACCAAAGGGTTGCAATAATATAGCTACTCATTGAATGTTACCAAATAATGAGTCAGGTGTCAAAGAATCTTAACTGAAAACAGTCACAAATCTGGCTTTAAAAATCATGAAATTTTCAACATTATCCTGTATAAGACAGTATCATTCTCTGTGATAAAAGGGGTCTCAGAGGTCTCAGGGAAAGGTAGAGGAACGTGAGTCCATCATTTCTGAGATCTGAGTCAGGAATAGCCTTATTTTTTGTTTATAACAAAGTGTTAAGTGTAAAATAAAGGGTTTTCAGTCCTGATTTAACTGTAAATCTTAATGCATACTTAATAATGGAGATGCTACTACCCCTCTAGACGTTTTCCAAATTAAACAAATTTCATGCTGGGTTTTAGAATACAGTTGTGCGTACATCTATTGGCAAACAATCATATGTATTTGAGGTCATGTGGTTTTGGTGCACATCTCCCATAACAATTTGTGTTTTGATACACTAGTGCAGAGTTTCAGATGAACACCAGATGAATGATCTTCTTATTCTAAGTGAATAGAATTTTGCATCTGAAATGTATGAAAAACCTGCTTTTACTGGTTTGGAGTCTGGTGTATATGATGGGCTCGTTAGTAGGTTCCCAGTTCATAAGTGATTTTTCTGCAGAATCTGTCATAATGAGAGCTACTCCCTCTGAATGCTTGTTGTCACTATGCCTTCAGTAAATCTGATGTTTCTTCTCTTGCCTGAAGCACTTCTTATCCACATCTCTCAATCTGCTCTCACCGATGCCAGGATTTCAAGTCTATAGTTGTCCATAACTCTCATGATCTATAAGATCTTTGATCTTTGAAACATTGTTCTCACATTCCAGTAACCAACTCTGAAGTGTTTTCTTGCTGTCAGCATCAAAATTTTCAGGGCCTTGGCCTCCAGAGACTGGCTTTCATCGGGAGCCTTCCTGAAGCACAAAGGGGCAGCAGTGTTCATTTTTACCGGAACGGTAGCCTGGTTCTGTTTCTATGACTGGTGAGGTGTTTTTACAAGACTACATGTTTAGCTCTGCAGTCAACCCTCCCCACTTTATCCGGGCTTGGGACTGACAGACACAGGC